AATAAGGGATTTAATTTTATATACTTGGAGCAGTACCTAGCACATGTAAGTGCTCAGTGCATATTGACTGCTATTATTAATTAATCCTCACTCTTGCCTTATTCTCGTGAAAGAGGAATCATTTATTTTCACTTGACAGATGAGGCAACTTAAGCTCATGAGGGTAAGTGACTTACCCAAAGTTGCAGCACGAATAATCAGTAAGCTGGTGCTGGAGGTGACATGACTCCGGAACTCACCTGTAGGGTTGGTGAGTTGTTGGACCAGCGACTTGACAGGACACTTCCTCAGCTAGGGCTCTCTTCCTCAACCGTGTCTCTTCCCATCTATGGTCTCCTTCATAAGGGATCTGAATTTGAAACCTCTCAGCGAGAGGGCTTTGGGCCCCTTTGCTCGTCTGTGTACTTCTAGAGACCACTCAGTTATGAAATGAATTTCTCGCCCATGTATACTTCGGATCTCTCCAGCTGACATGAAGCTCTCTTTCCACTATTCTCAAACCGCACACGGAGCAGGGGTGGAAGAGAGGGTTCCAGGCTCCGCTGGTCCTCCCGGACTTGGCATCGATTCCTGAACGCTCTAGTCACACACCGTCTCCAAGCCAGCACTCTCCCCTGGTCGTCCAGAAGGGGAGCCAGCTTCGGCTGTAATTCGGTGGGGGACCCGGGCAAGTCATTTTACCTCTTTCTGGTGTTGCCCTCAGCAGCATCCTTTACTTCCTTAAGACTATTTCCTCCTCAGTCATATAAGGGCATCTTCAGGAGAGGCATGTAGGCTAGAGGCACATGCAGAAGTCGGGGTCAGACAGACTGGGTCTGGGCCCCGTTGCTGTCTCCGCCGAGTATCACTGGGCACATCATGTCGTCCATCTGGACCTCAGTCTTGTAATTTGCGAAATTGGGATTCGAACACCTGTCTTTCTGGTCGTTGTGAAGATTGAGATGATGGTTCGCAGCACAGTGTCTGGCTCAGAGCAGGTAGGTGTTTAGTAAATGGTAGCTATTATTATTACTCGTACTGTGTCACCAGACCGCATCTGATGCCTGAAGCCCAATTTTATGGTTTAAAAACATGCCTTCTGCAGAGGGAAAAGCAACTTAGATTCATCCAACTAATCTTTCTTTTGGAGCCATCATTCATAACTTATCCATTTAAAAAAGGAAATGAAAACAAACAATGTACTGTAAAAAAATCCAGCTGAGTTACTTGGTTGAAAGAAACATTTCATTGTAAACAAGAATAAGACATACAATCGAGATGTTTGCAAAGATGGCTTGTTATTTTTTTTAGTGGGAGTTGGAGGAGAAGCAGCCATGGGTGACTGACCAGACTGGGAACAAGGTGTTGTAAGCTGAGCCCAGTCCTGGGAGGAGGCAGCTTTGAGCACTGGCACTAGTGGCAAAGGCTGTCCAGCCCGATATAGACGGAGGACAGAGGGCAGGGGGAGGCCCGCTTAGCCAAAGCGGGTGGGGTGTCCTTCTGATAGGCAGTCAGTGGACCATATGCCCCAAAACCCTCCAAAAGGGAAAAAGCATCATCTCTCTATGCAGCCCCAACCTCTGAACTGTGGTTTGGAGACTGGCTTCAGGTTGTTGTGGTGCAGGGAGAGGATGCAGGGGAAAGGATTGCTGAGGAGGTGGGGTTTGGGAAGAAGATGAGAATTGAAGCCGTACAGAACTGGGATGATATCCATCACTTTTCGGGGGTACACCCCTGAGCATGTTGCTTTCTAAGGTCCCTATGACATCTCTCGCAAGGTAGATGAGCTCAGAGGATCAGTGTTGGCCACAGCCCTGGCACTTGGCATCTGCCAATGCATTGCACTCCCACTATGAAGAACAAGTATTAATCTAACCACTTCTCACCACCTCCCCTGCATGCACCTGGGTCTTGCCACCATACCTGGCTTGTAATAACCTACTAACAGGTTTTCCCTGCTTCGTCCCTCCCCTCATACCAGTAATTCTTCACTGGGCAGCCAGAGGGATTCTGCTGGGATAGATCGTGTCACTGTTCCACTCAGTACCCACTAGTAGTTCCTGCTTCATCACGCACAAGCCAAAGTCCTGACAATGCCTAGGTCTACCTGATCCCCTCCGCCTTTGACCCTGGGTGCTATTGCTTTTCCTCCTGTTCACTCCATTCCAGCTTCCTCTCTGTTCCTTGAGCATGCTAGGCACACTGCTGTCTCGGAGCCCCTGCCCTTGCTGTTCCTCTACCTGGAACATCAATTGCATGTTTTTCTGACTTACCTCCTTTAGCTGAAAAGCCACTTCATCATGTCCTTCTGGGACCTGCTCGTTTCAAACTGCAGTCCCACCCTCAATCCTCTTTGCTGCTTTATTGTCCATAGCACTTTCCATAAACTGACATACTAAAATATCTTCCTCTTCTTTCTGCCTTTTTGTCTCTCTTCACTAGACTGTGAATTCTATGAGAAGAGGCTTTTAGTCTGGCTTGTTTATTCCTGTATTCTCAGCTCCTAGGACACCACCCAGTACACTGTAGACACTGCAAGACATTGGTTGAAGGAACAAATGATTATCATAAAGCAAAAGCCTGGACTCCAGTTCTAGAGGAACATGGACTTGAAGTTGGTGACTGAGGGAGGAACTCAGAACCAGGAAGCACACCAGGGGTCCAGTTAATTAAACTGGACCACAGGCCAGGGTAGGATCTAGGAACCCGAGGGATGCCCAGACATCAGGAGTGGGGCGTGAGATCAGAGTTTGGCCTGAAGCCAGGCTGATGGAGAGTATCTGGTGCTCCTCAGGTCAGTGTTGGTCCCAGGCCATGTGTCTTGGGGCCAGGACACCCCATAAAGACACAGAGGAGACACCCCATGGAGACAGAGGGCATGAAAAGCAGGTTGCCAGGCAAGGCCTTCAACCACTTAGTAAATGTCAAGCAAAGTTATCCTAGCTTTCAAATTATTCCCAGGTGTAGGTGTCAGTGGATGCTCCATCCTGGCACAGCTTACATGGAAAACATAAATGACTAAGGGGGGAAAAAGTGAAAATGCTCATTCAGAAATGTGAGCTGAGAGGTTGAGGAATGGCAGATGCCAGAGCCTATGACTAGGGGTTATCTGTGATGTCAAGTGAGACATCAGCTGAGTGAGCATCTGGGGATGGCCTTGTCTTTTTTTTCCCAGGTGCTCAGGTGAGCTCTGCCTAGGCAAACCTTCCTGCCCGTGGAGAACACTGATTAGCCAGCGAGGTGGTGCCTGCAGAAGCCTAGAAAGAGGAATTGGGGCAGGGACAATTTGGCTGGGTTTCCCAAGAGCTGTCCAAAGTACTCTCCAGGAGTTGAGCTCAGCCTCCCTTCTCCTTCATGCTTCCTGAGAACCTAGCCTGCAGTCCAGGGCTGCCCCTGCCTGCCTCAACCAGAAGAGCAAGATTTTGGACATAATCTGGTCCAGCTCCGTCAGCACATGCGTGAGGGAAATGAGGTCCAGAACAATCCAGAGACAGGGCAGAGTGCGGGTCCTGCCTGCTGGAGAAGCTGTTTCCTGTCGTGGTTCCCCCTGCACTTGCAGAGTGCTCCTGTTGGCTCTAAGTCCCTCCCTGAGTTAACTCCGTGGGCTTTGACAAGCTATGGAAACACTCTGATCCTCAGAGCATTCACCTGGAAAGTGAGGACAATCAACACAGAACTTACTTCAGAGGGCTGTTCTGAGGATTACCTTAGAAGGCATGTAGTAAGTGTTCTGTGCAGGTTAAACTCCCAACCTTGTTACAAGGTTCAGGATCAAGGATGCTTTCTGATTTGATGACCTACGGTGTCCCCCTCCTTAAACACTCCTTGGGATTTTATATTTTAATGATCACAATTTCTATTCAAGTATGGAGAGACACAGGAGACTAAGGCCCTGGGTCAGATCACAGGACTGCTCTGCCTAAGGTTAGCCAGCGCAGCCATTGCGACCTGGCAGAGAGGGCTAAGTCTTGTGGAGCTCGGACGCACAAGCCGCTCTGGCCTGAGGACTGTGCTCCCACCCCGGGAGAATTTTAGGGCGGAGCCCTGCGGGAGTGGGGACGCCCGGAGGTCAAATGCCTGGAGGGGGCGGTAGCATATGCAAGGTGAGGACTTCAGTGTGGCCTGGGTTTGGCAAAGGGCGGACGCGCCGTCTGGTGGGGAGAGCAGGGAGGCCCTAAGGGCCGGCCGGCCACCAGAGCACCAGGGAAGTATTGCAGCGCCCGCAGCGTCTTCGGCTGCCCCTTCAGGCTGGGTCAGGGCCTCCTGAGAACCCGCGTAGAGAAGGAAAGCATAAGCTGCAGGTTCCCGTGGCGCATTCACCGCCCAGACCTCCGAAAAGCAGTCCTAAACCACTGGGCAGGTGCTGCAGGAAGCGCTCGGGAGAGCAGCGGCTGGGCCAGTCTTCGTTCCCCGATCTCCGTCCTCGGGCAGCGGGAGCCCACGCGGCGAAGGATCAGGGACGCGTGTGTGCGTGTGCAGGAAAGGCGGCCCTCCCCGCTGCAGCCGCAGCGCCTGCGCCTCCCCCTCCCCGGGCGCGCACAGCCCGTCCCCGTCCCCGGAGGCGGCTCGAGCCGCCGCTGAGCAGCCTCGCCTTCGCCTCCCGCGTTTCCTGCCGCCCGCCCTCCCCCGGCCGGGCTCTAGGAGCTGCCGCGGAGCAGCTCCCGGCGGGAGAGCGGCTCAGAGCGCGCACGGGGGCGGGCGGAGGCGGCCGGGTTCTAGGCGGCCGTGCGGGAGAGAGGCGCGCGAGGAGACGCCGGCCCCCCTCTCCGCGTTTGCTAGCTCTCTCTCCGCCTCCCGCACTTCGCTCGCTCCCACCCCTTCCCAGCGTGATTGATCCGTCACGGGCGCCGCCGCTGCCGCCGCGGCCGTTCTGAGCCAAGCCGGAGCCCGAGCCGGAGCCTGAGCCGGAGCCCGGGCCGGCGCCATTGCGCGGGCGCCGAGGGGAGATCTTGGCGCGGGGCGGCGGGCCGGGCCAGGCCATGCGGGCCGAGTGAGCCGGCGCCCGCAGCCCGCGGCGCGGCATGGCTTCCCCGCGGAGCTTCGGGCAGCCCGGGCCGCCGCCGCCGCCGCCCGCGCGCCTGCTGTTGCTCCTGCTGCTGCTGCTGCTGCTGCTCCCGCTGGTGCCCGGGGCCTGGGGCTGGGCGCGGGGTGCCCCCCGGCCGCCGCCCAGCAGCCCGCCGCTCTCCATCATGGGCCTCATGCCGCTCACCAAGGAGGTGGCCAAGGGCAGTATCGGGCGCGGCGTACTTCCCGCGGTGGAACTGGCCATCGAGCAGATCCGAAACGAGTCGCTCCTGCGTCCCTACTTCCTTGACCTGCGGCTCTACGACACCGAGGTGAGTGTCCGGCCACCCGCACCGTCGGGGCTGTGGTGGGCAATGGAGGAGGGGAGTGTTGGACAGAGGTAAGCTTCGGTCCTTGGGCAGAGTCCTGATTGACCGGTCCATGCCTGCCGAGAGCATCTCGAGCTGGTGCTCAAGCTCACCCCCGTAGTCCCACCGGGCTGGGCTCGCACAGCTGCTACCAAGATTTGTTGAGCATCTCGTTCCTCTGGGATTGTATGTGTGTTTGTGTATGTATATGTGTTTGACGTATAGAAGACTAGGGTCTCCTTTAACCAGAGGAGTGGAGAAGGTGGTAACTGGACCCCCTTCCCCCCAAAAAGGCCTGCAGTGGGTGCCCCTTCCCAGGTCCGGCTGGTAGGGCTATGGAGTACCGGGTAGGAAGAACAGGCGCATTGATTGCAAACTGGGCCACCCTGGGTTGGAGAGGCCACCGGCCTGCTCACGGGCCCCCAGGAGAACCGAGCCGCTCTCTGAAGTCCGGAGGGCCCCGGGACCCGAGGGGCCAGTGCGCGCAGCAGGGCTGGGCTCCTGGTGCGCGCCGGCGGCTCGGGGTCCGCACAGCGTCAGCAGGTGGGGGGTCTCTGGCTCTGCAGCGCTGCTACCTGGATGTGGCCGGAGCTGCCTGTGGCCGAAGGAGACCCTCTCGGGTTAGTTGCTCAGAATGTGCCCTGAGCAGGTCTCGCCCCAGATGCGCGGGGTGTCCAGCTGCGCTGCTGCTGTTGGCCCAGCAGCTGCAGGCTCAGTTTCTTTGGGCGCAGACTTGAAGCACGGACTTGGAGCGCAGTAGCGGGCTTGCTCTCCCGGCCTCCTTCTCCGAGGGGAGCGAAGGAGCCGAGAGCTTCCCATCTTAAGCCCCCTCCTCACACCCTCGGTTTGGGTTCCGACTGAAGCCCCAGCTTGCACCTTCACAGCAGCTAGGGGCCTGAGGTTCGCAGAGTGGGCTTGGAGGAGCGATTGCCGGCCGCGCGAGGTCGGGTTTGCGAGTTTTTTGGACTAAGGTTGCCCCTGCGCTCCGACCGCAGAGTCTGAGACGCGGCCTGAAGGGGGCAGTGATTTCCTGTGCAGTAAGCTCTGTCGGCGCCTCTTCCACCGCGCCAAGCCTGGCGGAGGCGCTGGGCTCGACTCTGGCTTCCCCGGGCTCTCAGGGCACTGAAGCTAGAGCCCAGGTGTAGACCCTTTCGGAGAGGAGGGTCGCGCTGCCACGCCGATCATTCAGCAGGGGCTTTGCTTCCTTCTCTGTCTGGCCCTTTTTTGGTCCCTGGAGAAAGGGCAGAAATCTCGATTGCATCTCATTCCCCGTCATCCCCCCATTCACGGATGAACCAGCCTGCTCTGTACTGTAAATAAAAGGTGAAGGAACGGGTGACAGTTGGTGGCGGCGCAAAGGCTGCTGCAAGCCAAGAGGCTTCCTCTGCTCGGGGAGGGTGCAAGCTGGAGGGCTGTGCAGAGCGAACCCGTGCGTGGAATCATTTTTGAATGACATTCCCAACGCCCTCATCTTTGCCCTACCACTTCAAGTTCTCTGGGGTACTTGCCCTGCACACGTAAATGGAGAGGAGGACGCAGTTACTCAGAGGCACGTCTTCTCTGCACTGCTTCACTGTTGCTTCCATGCATATTCTTTTTGAAAGGGACACAGGACAACCAATTCTTTGGAGACAAAAACATTTGTAGACAGGGCAGCTCTGCTTGCATCATCACCAGATATTGCCAGCTGCATAACGTTTTCATCATCAATTTACCCCTTCAGAAAGCTTCCTGGAAGAGATTTCACATTCGCTTGCTTGTGGCAGTAAAGGGATGGGGGCTTGGTGTCAAAGCTTTTCATTTTATTTTTCAAGTGTGTCTTGATGAGTTTCTGAGTGAGAGAGCCCACAGACAAGAGGATGAGGCCAGCGGAAGGCTCTCTGGTTGGTGGGACTATGTGGGAAGCATCAGGAAGGAGGACAGGGATAATATCAGCCTCATGCAAACGGGATGCACCTCTAGCTCTGTGAAGGGGCACAGAGCATGGGCAGTGGCATGGGCTGGACCTGGGTGCTAGTGAGAAACAGGTTATCTTCCCTCCTGGTGACCTTGAGCGAGGTATCTAATCTCTCTAAGCCTGGAGCTCCACACGTGAAGAAGCGGAGCTGTTCTGTGCACTCTGCAGGTTGGTGATGTGGCTCTGGAGGGAGATAACAAGCCTGAGTGGAGAACGCTTTGAGCTGCTGGGCTCTGAGGCCAGTGCTCTGTCTGGCATGCTGTAAGCACTAAATAAATGTTTTCTGCCTCTCTTCCTTCATTTTCCTTTGGTGTGGGTTCACAGGTAAGACCTCGAGACTTTAGGTGTGATAAAATGCTCACAGCAAAAACGATTAAGACTGTTTATTTGTTTTTCTTGTTTTTGAAAGCTCGCAGAGTCACTGAAGTGATCACCAGAAAAAGAGGGATGCCGTCTTTACAGTCAAATAATTACGTTATCTCCTGCCATGAGGTGTCACGTTTGGGAGAATAGAGTGCCCGGGTGACATAATACCTAATTTTTTTAAGTGGCCCATCTTTAGAGTAGATGTCCTTTCTCTGTGAGCCTAAGTGAAGGGAGGATCGGTCTGTGTAATCCCAGCAAAAGCTACAGTCACCTGAAGGGTGTTTAGGGCCTGTATTGGAGTGTCCGGGGCCTGTTTTATTCAGATGGGCTGTTGTCCTGCATTGTGTGTCCTTCCTAATCACCTGCTGGCTGTGTCACTTGTTGAACACAAGATGGATGTGGCAAAGTGATTTTGGCTTGTCTTTGCTGACATTTGCTGTCAGTCAGTGGCTGGAGACTCTGGGCAGGGGGGATGGACCTGTGTCCACACAGCCGCCAAGGAGATGGGGATTTAGCAAGGAATGGGTTAATCTGATCATTGGGACAGCTTGTCTCAATGAAGGAGCCTCCTGCCTGCATGTACACACGTTCGTCCCTCTGCTGTAATTAGATTAGTGACAGAACTTTGAAAGCCCCATTCAGTGACTTGTGTTGGTAAAAATGAAACATCTCAACAGGGCATCTGCTAGTCAAGACCTCTTTTCTCTGGCATACCTCAGATCACCTTAGCAAATACTTCTTTTTGTATTCCAAGGAAGATTTGAATGTAAAAACATAAGCAAGACAACAGGTAAAAGGAAGCATCAGAAACCCTATAGAGACAGAAATTACTGTACCAAGAACCTGAGTTAAGATGCTCATTTTGGAGTATTACATTTTAACTCTGAGCTTCCTGGCAGTCAGAGTGAGGAGGTAAACATCATGGATTACATTTCTTACGTGTTTGATTAAAAGCCTCTGAGGGACAGTATCTTCTTTTTTAAAAAGTTTTGCAGGAGATTCAGAAAGGTTCTTCCCATGGTGGTTTCTCCATCTTGGTAACCATGTTAATAAAATAAATTATAACCCAGAAATGAACTTTTTAATGGTTGGATTTTTCAATTTGGTTACTGTTCACTTTAGAAAATGGAAAGTTATAGAGAAACATGAAGAAGAATAAAACTATCCACAATGCACCTACACAAAGATAGCCACATCTAATAATTAGCGTTATCCCCTTTCCAGTTGCCAGTGTTTACTATTTTATGTACTCACACCCTTTTGTATTTTGTTTCATTCAGCTAACGTTGTATCATGGGTAATTTCTTCATGTCCTCAAACCCTCTTTGCAAAAATGACTTTTGTGGCTGTGTACCATTCTATTCTTTGGGTGCACAAGTATTAAATCATTCCCTTCTTGTTGGATTTATGTTTCCACGCTTGTTACTTTTTAAAATTATCCTGTCATAAACTTAGAAAAACTTCAGGAGCTGAAGGAGCACATTCCAGGTGTGCACCTGCCTCTCAGGGAGTCTGCCCAGATGCAGGGTCCAGAGAAAACCTAGTGATTGGTGAGCACATCCTTTCCTTGAGTGGCTTTGCCAACTATCTGTTCTCTCATTCACTGCGCTTTAGAAGGAACCCAAATGACTGTTGGATGGAGGCCGAGCTTTTCTCGGAGGTCTGAGTATGGCTCAGCAGGCATTAACTGAGTGCCTACTGCAGCTGCGGGTGCTGCAGAAGGGAGCGAAGCCCAGCCCTGGGCTCGGGAGAGGAGCTGCTTCGTAGGGGAGAATAGAGCGAGGCCGTAGTTGTCATTCTCAGTGGAAGACGGTGATCGCGGTGAGGGTTGCATAATTCGGGAAATATACTGAAAACCATAGAATCGTATATTTTAAAAGAATGAATGTTACGATGTATGAATTCTAGAGTTCAATAGGACCGTGGGTAGAAATAAAAAGATAGAAAATTGTCTCTTTTATTTTCAGGCTCACTTCTTACAACCCCACTACCCAATCATGGCACCTGGCCCTTAGTAGGTATGGCTTAGGGTTCTTGTTGCAAGTGATAGAAACCCACCTTTAATTGGTTCAGATGACTGAAAAATCCTGGAGTAGACTGTGTGCAGGCATGGCTGAATCCAGGGACACAAATGACATCTTTAAAAAATCTCTCTCCGTCTCTTAGCTCTGATTTCTTCCGTATTTGGCTTCGCTCTCAGGCAGGCTCTCTGCATGTGGTGGCGTAGATGGCCCTTTCGCAGCTGCAAGTTTACGAATTCCCAGTTTAGAAACTCCAGGAAGAAGAGTGTTTCTCTCCCAACTGTTTCAGCAAAAATCCCAAGATCTGTTCTCATTGGCTTGAATTGGGTCATATGTCCATCCCTGAACCAATCACATGACACTCATGGGCCTAGGACGCCTGCCAGCCTTTCATGGAGGGGAAACTGACAGATAACAGTAAACATGTTTAGGTATTAGATTGTACAGTCTAGAAATATAAGCATAGGCTTTAACTATTCAGTAAATGTTTCACTTATTTCGGGTGCCACATATTTTATACTCAAAGATTAAGAAAATATGCTAATCACTTACAGTCAAAGATTATAAAGTGTGGTAGTCATGTCCTAGAGGTCTGCCTATAAAGCAAGTTCTAGGGAAAA